CTCAAGGCTACCATAGGTAAAAAAATCGCAAAGCAGAGTATGGATGAGGAGATAGCTAAATTATATACGCCATTGAGTGGGATGGATCCAGAAGAGCAATATGATCATGACTTGGAGATGGCCACAAGAATAAGCTTGCACGAAACGTACCAGACGGAAAGTGGGTTTGGAATGCCTGGTGGTTAAGGCATGGACATGCATGGTGGACCCAGCTCAAGCATGCATGACAGGCCCAGCTTGAATATGTATGGAGGGGTTGGTGGCAATATGCATCCAGATGCATCGGACGTTGAGGAAATTGTTCCTGGCTTATCTTGGAGCACTAGTATTGCAGGTCATGGTTGCATAGATCCATTTTTCACAAAGCCCAAGTCACAACAGATGACCCTCAAATGCATGGTGAAAGGTACAAAGAACATGTTGGACAGATATGTTGGTAAATGGTTTTACGATAAGGAGATCCCCTTTGATGCAGCCAATAGCCCATATTTCTTGCCTATGATCAACGCAATCTGGAGAGCCAGGTCCGGGGTAAAGCCCCCGACTGCACATGAGCTCAGTGGGCCTATCTTGGATGAAGAGGTAGAAGAAGTTAGGAAGTGGATTGAAGAATATAAACAGGGTTGGCCAGGAACAAGCATTACTCTCATGAGTGATGGTTGGTTGGATAAAGTTAGCAAGAAGGAATATCTTAACTTCTTGGCCTATTGCCCAAAAGGTACAATCTTCTTGTCTAGTAAAAACGTCTCAGGAAAAAAAAAGGATACAAACTTCTTGGTACAACTATGTGACTAGATAGTGGAGGAGGTGGGAGATAAGCATGTGGTCCAATTTATTACGGACAATGCGAGTGCTTGTGTTTCTACGGGCAACAAATTGATGCATAAGACGAAGCATCTAGTAATGAACCCCTTGTGCTACACACAACATCGATCTTATGTTAGAGGAGATCGACGAGGTCAAAATTGTGAAGGAAACACTAGAGGTAGCGAGGTTCGTGTCAAGATTTACATATAATCACTCTAAAATCTTATTTTTGTTCAAAGAATAATCTGAGAAAAAGAGACAATCAGGCTTGCCATAACCCACTTTGCGACAGATTACTTGGTGTGGACTCCATTCGAGAATCCCAAGCTGCATTGAAGAGATTGTTTACCAGCGAAGAGTGGTCAAACGACTGCCTCTTGGAGTTCTGAAATGGGCTAAAAGTGGAGGGCATAATCATAGATAGGAGGTTCTGGTCTCGGTGTTCAAATGTCGTAGGGGTCACTGCCCCTGTGGTCACGGTATTAAGAATGGTGGATGCTGACAAGAAAACTATCATGGGCTTCCTTTACGAAGGTATTGAGAGGGCCAAATCAGCTATTAGGGAGAAGTGAAGTTTCCTAGTAAAGTGATCGAGATCATAGAAAGAAGGTGGGACACCAAATTGGGCCGCCCAATTCATTATGCAGGTACACATATTTATATCCTTAGAATGTTTAATTCCAAAATATTTTTTTAATGTGCATTTAAATGACCTTTCTCTATCTATGTATTTTCTATGTTTCTACTTTAACCCAAAATTATTCTATTTAACACTTGAATATCCCCACAAGATTATGGAAGGGGTCAGATACATTATTTCCAAGCTGGAAAGAAGGAGGAGGTAAGAGTTAATATTTGGGTAAGAAATTTATTGAGTTGTTATATTTGTGCGGAATAACTAATGCACTAAAACAAAATATTTTTTTTTAGCTTTCTATGTATAGGGATGCTGTAGGATCCTTCGGATGTAGACTTGTCAGGAATTCTCAAACTAAGATGGATCCAGGTTAACCTCTAACTAATATTTTGTTC